CCGGCCGTTTTTACAGCCGGGTCGGGCGCCGTCGAGGCGGCCCGTACACGGGCCTGGAACCTGGCCTGACCTAGGTTTTCGGGCCAAACTAGGCCCGGGCCAGCGTGCCAAATGGACAGCCCTAGGCTTAGGTATATTGACTATGAGGACGTAGTTAAAAATTTTCGAACCATGCCTCTACCGGTCACTGACTGACATAAATCACCCAATTGCACGGGGTTGTTCTCATAAAATCTAAACCGAAAACCTACATGAACTTCCGAAACGTTACGTGCAAAACTCATAAAGTTCAGGGGGCCCTATAAAATTTACCCACTAGTTCTCCTCGGCCGATCTTTAAAAGGACACAGGAGCGAAATCCACAGATTAGGGCAAACAAGCCTCTCTCATTTTTATCTTCGAGCTCCCGATCCATCTACTCGTTCTCTAAAATCTTAGCCAAAAACCCCCAGCCATTCGAATCCATCTACTCTTTCTCTACTCCCAAAACCCTAACAAAAACCCCCATTTCTTCGATCCATCAAAGTTTCCGTCTTTTCTCTGATTCCTTTGCCGTTAGGGTTTGATGGCGGAGCCGTCGAAGGTCATTCACGTCCGAAACGTCGGCCACGAGATCGCCGAGGTGCATTAATTGTTATAGATCCCATATTTCTTTTTTAAAGGGATAAATTTCTAATTTTTTTTCTATTTGCAGAGTGATTTGCTCCAGTTGTTGCAGCCGTTTGGAACCGTGACGAAAGTCGTGATGCTGCGGGCAAAAAATCAGGTTTTGGTTTAAGTGTTCTAAGTTACAGTGAGTAGTTATTATTGGATAAATTTTTAGAAACAACCTAAACTTTGAAGGGTTTTAAATAAAAGCCCCTGAACTTTGCACATGGAACAGAACATCTGTACTTATTGAGTGCATTAAAAGTAAAGTTGTCAGGCTAGAACGTTCGGACAATTTCACCCCTGTTTAACTTGATGGTAGGTTGAACTTTTTTGCTCATTTATTGGAATTTCATTGTTGTATGGGTTTTGAATAATTTGAAAGTTCAGATTTTCTCTGATTTCGCTCAGGGTGTTTTGTGCAAAAACCCCCAATGTTCTGGGGATCTCTAAAACTTATCCAGTATTGTTGGATGCTTCGCAGATATAATGGATTGAGTGATGGGTTGATATATATTTGTTTTGCATATTTGCAGGCTCTCCTTCAGATGTATGATGTATCTTCAGCTGCTGCTGCTATGCAATACTATGCGAACGTGCAACCAAGTGTTAGGTAAGCTTTTTTTTGTTATGAAAATTGAATATATCTTGCAGTGGACACTTATGAGAACTATGGCAACTAGAATATACAACCATACCCTTTTCTAAATAACTGAGGCAATTAGATTTGATCTTGTTTGGACCAGGTAATATAGCATAGCTATTGACACAGCCATTATTACTAAGTTATATTGCTTGTTTAAACATTGGTTGTATTCTTCAAAATTTTGATACATCCTTCTTGTTTTTTCATAGTATTCAAACATAATTCGCTCTATGTGGATGTGATTGAATATACAGAAGGTCACAATGCTATAGGAGATGCATTTTCCATGACGACTTTTGTTATTGTTGTGCTGCTGATTGTTTTGTCATAAACCTAATTCTGCTATTTCAGGGGAAGGAATGTATACATGCAATTTTCTTCACATCAAGAACTAACAACAATGGATCAGAATTCACAAGGACGGAAAGGGGATCAGGTTGGTATAGTGCATTCGAATCAGTTCCTTGCTGGATTAATGAATTGTATTTTGTAATCCATGCATGTTCCACGTATTATTGTTCTTTAAGCATTTCAATTATAGGTTGTGCTGTGATAATATCGAAAGTAATCTATTTGCAACCGGAAATGTTATGTATAATTTGTTGCTATGTTTGTGAGCATGTTAATATAAATATCTAGTTGTTATTTTGTTCATCTATTGGTTAATTTGCAATTCGGGTGATTGGGATTTTCATGCATCCCTCTCATGGGGCTTCTTTTTTATTGTATTTCTTTGTGCTTATTTATTTCAACATGGACCTTAGTATATGTTCTAGTTGCCTAGCTACAAAATTGTTTAGATGGTGTTAATTGCTTAGATAGTTGAGCATTTATGCATATGTTGCTAGAGAAGTAAGTTATTTTCGGATTTTAGATCAAGGAAATGAGAACTACATCTTTGATGAGGAAAGCACATAGTGAAATAATTTACCTCAATCAATTTGGAATTCAACATGTTTAAGCCTATACATGGCTAAGTATTAATTCTCATTTGGCTAAATTTTGCGTAATATATCCTGCACCACTTTGCCTATCTTAGCAAGATTTGTGTTCAACCCAACAAAAAATTCAATATAATGAAAATACTTCAAAGTTCTATGGTGGTTTTGCCTTTTCAAGAAATTTTTGGCCTAATAGAGTATCTAGTATATCTGTGCTGAAAAGAGGAGACAAAAGAGAAAGAATTCCAATCTAATAGTGTGTTCGGCAACTTCGAAATAGTACTGGGTCTGCACTGGTTTTTTCTTAACACTAATATAGTGCACGTGCTTTGCACGTGAACGTACATGTTTTATGTTCTGAATTTTTTATTGAATAGTAAAACTATGTGTTAATAAAATAAAATTGTATAATAAGATTGCTTAAAAAGAAATGGATGAATTAGTTATTTTTGTTTAGTTATCGTAATTGAATGTTTTTCTTATAATAATTGCCCACTCTTAACCTTATTTTAAATAAGTCCACAAATTTAAAATTGTTCTTAAATAAAATGCTAATTCTATATATTCTCTTAAATATGCCCCTTCAATTTGAAACTTGTTAACTTAACTCTAAATTAACTAAGTCGCATTAATCTTGTTAGCTTTTTCTTGATATTCCTCAGATAGTTACACTTGATACCTGCAACATATTATGATAATTATTTCTCATTATAATTATTTAATAGAGTAAATTAAACTAAACCTTATGAATTTTTAGCCCATATGAACTTCAAAATTACACTAAACCCCTAATGACTTTTCTGTTTCAAAGAAGACCCCCAATAACTTTCTAAATTTTGCAAATAACCGCTATAAGTTAGAACCAGAAAATGGCATAAAAAGGCATTTTGAAAGTTATTGCGGGTTTGGTGTAATTTATCTAGAAGATATTGGGGGTTTTCTACAAAAGTTTTAGGGGTTTAGCATGATTTTGAAAGTTCATAGGGTTTATTTACGTTAAAATGCTGAAAGTTCACGGGGGTTTACTGTGATTTACCTTATTTAATGTTATAATTCTTAGTTCAAGTAATACTATTTAAATAATTATAGTCTATATACTATAAAATATTTATCTAATTTATTTTTTTAATTATGCTCTTAAATAATTTAGTATTATAAATATTTTATAATTTTTTTATTATACTATCATTAACAATTAATAGTATTATTATTAATATTAAATATTTTTTCGTAAAAAGGTTAGTTTTCAATCATTACCAAGTATAGATTATTCAGTGGCATGTAATAATTTTTGAGAAAATACTTTAAAAGTTGTATTAAATTATTTATTTAATAATATAATACTAAATAAATTGTGCAATTCATAATTCATGTGATATTATTAATATAATTACACTATTTATGAGATTCAAAATTTGTACTATTTATTTTATTGCTCATTGATTTATAGTATAATTCTTAATAGTATTTAGTAATATATTATTCCATTTATAATATTATTTTAGCTATTTTATTATAATTCTTAAATAATTATTATAATAATTAAATTGGTTACTACTAATAATTTTGTATACTTATTTTATATAAATCATTTTATTTTATTATTTTTAAACAAATAATAGTTATGATATTATTGATAATTATAATTATTTAGGGAGGTGAGGAGGTGCATAATTAATAAGAGGTTATATTTATTTAATGAAAGATTAATTAGAGATAATGGTATAGTTAGAATTTATTAAAATTTGAGAGGGCAAAAAAGGCAATTAAAAGTTTTAACAACTCAATACTCTTTTTATAGTAGTATAGATATAGATGGGTTCATAAAAGGGTTGGTCCACAAAAGAGCTAGTTTAGGGGCAAGTTCATTAAAAAAAGGAGGAAATAACCAAATATGAAAAATAATCTTTTTATAAAACGCATTCATAAATCCAATGAGCTGATTCAAGGATGTTTATATTAAGAACTCACAATTATAGGACATTAAGGCTGTGTTTGGCAATTCCAAAATAGGATTGGGTTTGGACTAGTTTTTGCTTTACTAGGCTAGGGTTGTCCATAGGGGTTGGTCTAAAAGAGCACTAGTTTAAGGGCTTAAATTTAAACTAAAAAACTGTTCAAATTTGATCCACTTTTGCCAAACTAAAAACTAGCTTTTGTACCGTACTTGTATCCACTTAAACTAGTTCTTTGGAGCTGCAAAAGGCACCCTAATATTTTACGTTATTACTTGGCTGGGAAGGTGTGCATGCGGTTTTCTTTGCGTTATTAACGAACAATTATCGACCAAAAATTACAAATGTTTCACAAAGGTTATCAGGGTGGTGTAATACATTTGAATCAACTCATTGGATTTATGAATTGTATTGCTTGCTCTATAGGTAAACATGCTGTGATCTATGTAGGTGTCTTGTATGCATTTTTTTTCTTAAGCATTAGGGTCGTAGATGTCCTGTGAAATATTAAAGGTTAATCTTACTGCAGCCAAACACATTATCTACCTTTTTGGCTGTAACATCCGGACATAAATCTCTAGTTGTGGGATTAGGACTTCCACATCCCTCTCAAAAATCACCTTCTTTATTCTATTTCTTTGTCTCATTTTCAATGTTATAGAAAGCGCTAGGCGGGCTAGGCGGATTAGGCGTTTGAGCTGGGACCTAGCGCCTAGGCGGTGCCTAAGCATTTGCCTATTTTTAAAATTTCCTTAATTGTAATAATTCACAAAAATATGTATTAAATTCACATAAAATTGCAAAGAAATATAAACAACAATCTTAGATCCATAATCAATCCTGCATAGATACTAAATAGAACTAATATTAAATCAAGACAAATAAAAGATTCAAATAGATCACATAACTTGATCTATTAAGTGTTAACATCTATTTAGTCTTCTCTGAATCTCTTCTATAAGACTATATCTAAACTTGAACAAGATTTTAATCTTAATTATTAATTAAATATATTAACTAACATTAGCTAAATTGAACAAACAGTGAATAAAATTGAACAAGATTAAACTAAAATTAACTAAAATTAGAAACTGTGAATAAAATTGAACGATAAATTAATTAATTAAACTAATTAATTAAACTAAATTGAACATGATTAACTAGTCTTCTCTTTAAGAATTGAACAAGATTATTATTAACTACATTAAAACAGTTTGTAAGTTAAAAAACAGTTCAAAAATAAAATAGAAAATTTTATAACTTTACCAGCGGTTGCAGCTGTGGGTGTCGGAGGTGGCTGAGGTGGCGGTTGCGATCGCGAGCCTAGGCCTGGAGTGGAGAAGATGCACAAGGAGGTGGAGAAGATGCGCGAGGAGGTGGAGGCGGCGACGGCGATGGGAGAGATGAGAGGAGTTGGAGGTGGGGTGGCTACAATTTGGTCACGGAGAGAGAGGAGGTGGAGGAGGAGGAGGCGGAGGGAGAGACGTGGACAGAGCGGAGGTTGCGGAGGTGGAGGAGAAGTTGGAGGTGGGCGGCTGGGTTGGGGAGAGAACGAGAGAGAAAACGAGAGAGAAACATCGTTAAGGTTAGCTAGGTTAAGTAACGGGTTGGGTTTTGGGTTTGGGTTTTAGTATTTGGGCTTGATTGGGCTGGGTTTTTTGGGTTTTTCTTTCAATTTTTTTGGTTTAAAAAGCTAGGCATTTGCCTATTTTCAAAATTTCCTTAATTGTAATAATTCACAAAAATATGTATTAAGTTCACATAAAATTGCAAAGAAATATAAACAACAATCTTAGATCCATAATCAACCATGCATAGATACTAAATTGAACTAATATTAAATCAAGACAAATAAAAGATTCAAATAGATCACATAACTTGATCTATTAAGTGTTAATGAACTAATATTAAATCAAGACAAATAAAAGATTCAAATAGATCACATAACTTGATCTATTAAGTGTTAACATCTATTTAGTCTTCTCTGAATCTCTTCTATAAGACTATATCTAAACTTGAACAAGATTTTAATCTCAATTATTAATTAAATGTATTAACTAACATTAGCTAAATTGAACAAACAGTGAATAAAATTGAACAAGATTAAACTAAAATTAGAAATTGTGAATAAAATTGAACAAATAAATAAATTAATTAAACTAATTAATTAATCTAAATTGAACATGACTAACTATTTAGTCTTCTCTTCATACAAAATTAAACTAGAATTGAACAAGATTATTATTAACTACATTAAAACAGTTTATAAGTTAAAAAACAGTTCAAAAATAAAATAGAAAATTTATAACTTTACCTGCGGCTGCA